CGGCCCCTCTGAGCGCTGATCGCTCCATGCGCCGACAGCCCATGCTTATTCGGGTAGCCGCTGATCGGCCCCTCTGCGCGCTGATCGCTCCACGCACTGACCGGCCCCTCTGAGCGCTGATCGCTCCACGCACTGACTGCCCCCTCTGAGCGCTGATCGCTCCACGCACTGACCGGCCCCTCTGAGCGCTGATCGCTCCACGCACTGACTGGCCCCTCTGAGCGCTGATCGCTCCACGCACTGACCGGCCCCTCTGAGCGCTGATCGCTCCACGCACTGACCGGCCCCTCTGAGCGCTGATCGCTCCACGCACTGACCGGCCCCTGAGCGCTGATCGCTCCACGCACTGACCGGCCCCTCTGAGCGCTGGTCGCTCCATGCACTGATCACCGGCCCCTCTGAGCGCTGATCGCTCCACACGCTGACAGCCCGTACTTATTCGAGTAGCCGCTGACTGGCCCCTCTGAGCGCTGATCGCTCCACGCACTGACCGGCCCCTCTGAGCGCTGATCGCTCCACGCACTGACCGGCCCCTCTGAGCGCTGATCGCTCCACGCACTGACCGGCCCCTCTGAGCGCTGATCGCTCCACGCACTGACCGGCCCCTCCCTCTGAGCGCTGATCGCTCCACGCACTGACCGCCCCTCTGAGCGCTGATCGCTCCACGCACTGACAGGCCCCTCTGAGCGCTGATCGCTCCACGCACTGACCGGCCCCGCTGAGCGCTGATCGCTCCACGCACTGACCGGCCCCTCTGAGCGCTGATTGCTCCACGCACGACTGCTCCCCGCCTAATTGGTCTGCACGCTCACAGACAGCCGCTGAACGGCCCACCGGAGCGCTGACGGCTCCCCGCCTAATGGTCTGCACGCTCACACCGACGCGCGCGCAAGCATGAATCGCTGACTGGCCCTATATAGCGCAACTGGCAGCCCGTCTGCACGAATGGAACTCTGACCCGTCCCATAGCATTGTCGGCTCACATACACTGGTAAACAGCGGTACGCACGAATGGATCGAACGCACGCTGACCACCGCATGCGACCACGTACGGCCCGTACGCATCAGGTGACCGCGCGTACGCTAACCACGTGGCCTGGCCCAGCAGTCCTGACGTCACACCGCCCGCAAGAACGGGGTCACGGGGTCGAACGGCGGTGGGCGAACGTGTGGTGCGGTTGACACCTGACCGTCCATTGTTTACTTTTCCCGCCCGACTGGTGTTTGACCGTGGGTTGTTTTCGCGCTCTCCGCACCGGTCACCCTAGCGTTATCGTACCCATAATACCGCTGGTGACGTTCCCGGCGAGGCCGCCATGTCGCCAACGCCCCCCCCCCCGATACTGGCGTCTCAGTGGACCTAAGCGCCTTCATCCCACTCACAGGACTGCAAACAACGCCCCTAACTGACGGCCTGTTATCCTGGCCTACAGGACTCCGACCGCTCACCCCAACGGACAACACCGCAGCGCGGAGCGCGATCGGTGGCCCCTGGGCAGACGTGACAGGCCCGTGACCCCCTACAGCAATGCCCGCCCACCAGACGACCACCGGAGCTGACGCGCCGGCGGGCCCCCAGCCGGCCCCGGTACATACCAGCAACAACACGGGCCCACGGAGCCGGAGACCCACCGGCTTGCCCTGTGCCGACCGGCGACGGCCGGCGCCGCGGCCCCGCCCTCATGGGGAGGCGCGGCACACACCCCCGCCTACCCGGCGCTTGGAGGCGCGCCCAACTGGCCGGCGGCCGGAGGCGCGTCCAACTGGCCGGCGCCCGGGGGCGCGCCCAACTGGCCGGCGCCCGGGAATGAACAGTTCGCCGGCGTCGGCCCCACACCCACGGCCCAGGCCTACAACCGCCCGACCCCCGCGACCCAGCCGAGCGGCGCAGCCAGCACCGGGCACGGGCTGCCCCCACAAATGATCCAGCCCTATGACGAGTACCGACGCTCAGCCGGCGAGACTAGTGAGAGCGTAGCCGCGGCAGAACTAAAGGCACGCGAGCGAGGGGTGGCGGCGGACCGCGCACAAGACCACCAGCAGCTACCGGTAGTGTCCTACGCGCAGCCGCCGGTACCCGCCCTCCAGCTAGCCGGGGTCAGCACCAAGGCCGCCCAGGACCTCCGCCACCGAGGCCGCTACGTCGCGGTCGACGACTCGGGGGATGAAGTAGGGGGCCCGCTGACGACCACCGCCCACTATTTGGCCCGGGTAGCCGAACTGCTGGCTCACAGAGCCTACCATTTCCCGGCGGCGGGGCTCCAGCTGACAAGTTACATGGCGTGGCTGCTGCGTACTTACGCCAACCGGCCCCTCGCCGAAACTCGGGCCGCCGACGCCAAAGCACGAGAGGCCATGGCGGCAAATCCGGGTATTCTGCACACAGCTCTCGACTGGGACGTGCTGTGCCGGCCTGGCATAACACCAATTAGCCACAGTGTGGAGACCAGGAAGCCGCAGCGGGTAATCATCTGCCAGATTTCCTGGCCGGTCGCTACTTTCATGCCAATTCATTAACTTTTTTGAAGGTGGGAGGGTCCCCCTTTAACATCGCGTCTTACGAGTGCAGGACCGCTCGTGAACTGAACATCACAGCCGCTCGGTATGGCCCATACAAAGCCATCGCAATTTGACGTGGCTCTGCCGGCACGGGGCCGCTGACCGGTGGCCGCGCTGACGTCACATCGCGTCACCAACTTCACTGGCAAGCCCACTCATGCCTTAGTTCTGACGTTGTCACACCACCGCCAATTGACCCGTTCCAACGCACACCCCCGCCGGCCGGGAACACGCTGACGTTCCATCGTGGCTGCCGACCCAGGTGTAAATGCATCCCGCTGGCAGGTAATTGCGTTAAAGACCCACTCCGCGTGTGTCCATTGTAAGACGACACCCACCCGCGCTCTCCGGCTCCGACAGCGGACGGCGCAGTTCCCCTCCCCTCCCCCATTGCCGACCTCACGTTATCGGGACCAACAACAAACACGCGCACCCCATGCCCGCGCACCACCAGCTGATAGTGCTCATGGCACGGGGAGACGAGCCAGAGGGCTGTTCACGGGCCCTGTGTGCGGCTGGACCGCACACAGCCTCCAAGCTCCGCCCACTGCGTCCCTGCGTCAGCCTTCCGTCACCGCACACAGCGACCGCTGTGGCCGGTCGGGACCGGCCACAGGAATCCGTCCACCGCACGCAGCCGTGACGTCAGAGCCGCCTACCCCCACGCCTGCTGGACGCACCGCACACACCGCACGCAGCAGTGTGCGGTGTCCGTGAACACCCCTCCGGCTCTGGCAGCCGCAATTGGCCGGGAGAATGGCGAAAGGGGCCCTGACATGATGTCGGTTCAGGTCGACCCGGGATCTGACGTAACCACACCGCTGACCGGTGCTCGCGCTGATGTCACATTGCGTCTGGCGAGCGCAGGGACGGCTCGTGATTTGATATCATACCACAGCCGCTCGGTATGACCCTGATATGGCGCCGACGCCAACTGATTCGGACTCTGACATTACAATACCGCCGACCGGTGCTCCCACTGACGTTATATTGCGTCTAACGACCACAGAATGATCTGTAACCCGATTCATAGCACAGACGCTCGGTATGGCCCCTGATTGGTATGATGACCATATGTATGGCTTGGTATGACGAGCCAGCGCAGTTTATAATCGGATGCTGACGCCACACCACCGCCAATCTACCGTTTGACCGCACACCGAGCTCAGCTGGCTCGGCTCGGGCACCGGACGGCGTAGTCTCCCTCCCCATTACTGCCCCCATATTGTCGGGGCCAACAGCAAACACGCGCTCTCCGGCCCAGCCGCAGTCTGCCGGAGGAGACAGCACAGTGCTGACCGCCCGAGACGCCACCCTCCCCACCAGTGGACCGTTGTTTGTGCTACGGGGCGCCCGCCCTCACCCGGCTGTGTTTGAATAGCACACTGCGGGCAACTATCGGCTGAGGTTCGACAACCACAGCCTCCGCGACGGGCCCAGTATGAGCCGCGACGCCCTTACCTCCCCTGTGCGCGCCCCCGCCCTCCACTGGGCGCTGACAAACTCCAACCAAGTGACAGAGGTGAGTCGACGCCCATTCTCCTAGTGTGTGATCAGTGCTGTTTGCCAACCAACCCTGCCTCCTGCCTGGCGTCTCGTGGCCGCGGCCTGGCCTGCCTGAGCAGGCCACTTTACGCCGCGTCCCTCCTGGAGCACCGATCACTATAATAACATTCTGTCCTGTCGGGTGTGATTGGCGTAAGGAATGGAGGAATGGACATAACGTGAGAGGGACGGCCGGCCGATCATCAGCCAATGTAACGTTCGAGCAGAGTCTGTGCGGCGCTATAGTTAACGGAAGATAACGTTGTTATATGTTCGTTAACGGGCTAGCGCCGGACAGCGGCGAGACGGTCCTCCGAATAGCCGCGCCGCCGCCCGGGGCGGCCCCGCCGGCGGCGCGGCCCTCTCGGACGGGACGGGAGGGGACGGGAGACGCTTCCCCAGTGCGTGGGCGCTCGGCGCGCGCGGCGGAGGCGCGCTCCCGCGCGCCGAGAGGAGCGTCCGTCGGGTTCGATTTTTTTTCTTTCTTTTTCAGCTCGTCGACCGTCCCTCTCACATCGCGTAAGGAATGGAGGAATGGACATAACGTGAGAGGGACGGCCGGCCGATCATCAGCCAATGTAACGTTCGAGCAGAGTCTGTGCGGCGCTATAGTTAACGGAAGATAACGTTGTTATCGGTCTTTTTCTCCGACAAGCAGATATTGATACGAAAGCATTGAAACCTCACCAACGGAAATGCAGATAGTGATTGCTTGACGCACATCGCTTTTACGTTTTATCATCTCAAACTTTCCTAATCCGCTTTAGTTCAGCCAAATGAAGTAACGTCACTGCACAAAAAATGCTGTTTGTTGTGATGACGTATCGGCTATCTAAAACCACCAAAAGCGTGTCACACGTCGCGTCGAGACCGACATGAACATCACCCGCCGGATATAGACATCGGAAAAACCTATATTGATTCCTAGCATCAACAGGTACTGTCAACCGTTGCTGTAATATTGCAACAGGAAGTTCTCTACGTCTGCGGTGTCTCCAACATTTTTGTACACCCACAGTCCCCAGCCGAGTTGCGAAGACTCCTTTACGGCTTTGGAACGCAGGCACGAGTTGAAGCGTTTGCCGACCTCCCGCTTGTTGCACTCCTTCTTGTGATAGATGTGCACCAGGTCCGGGTCGGTCATGCGAACAATTTCCACGTCGCTCTTCTGGAAGCGCTGGTAGAGTTTCACGTCCTCCAGCCCCCAGCCGGTGATGTTGAGGAACTGGCCGCTGAGGCGCTGGAAGTCGGACCGGTACTGGCAGCTCATGCCGAAGCCGAACGTCGTCCACGCACCCATCTCCTGGTTGATGACTGTGCCCTGCTCGTAGCTGGTGAGGATCGGCACCACGGGTTTGTTCTGCACACTGTACACGATCGCAGGGTTGTAGGTGCTGAACACGATCGGGAAGTACGCCTGGCGCGCGGGGGCGGTGTTGGCCCGGCACCGCTGTAGGAACTCGCTGCCAAACACCATGTCTACGTCACAGAGGAACAGTATCACGTCTTCCTCCCCGTCCCAGGCGCGTGCGCCCTCCATCAGCGCCAGACCCCGCGAGAAGGTGCCGGTCCTCTCGATCAGGCGGACTCGCGGCGCGGCCCCGTGCGCCGCCAGTCGACTGTTGGCCTGCCGCACCACCTCTGCGGCTCCCTCCGCGTCCCTCCTCTGCTGCTCAGCGTCCATCGACGGAAAGCCGTCCGTGTAGCGGATCACTGTCAGCACGGCCTCCTCCCCGGCCTCCACGAGCGCGGCGAACCTACCCACGAACTGGCGCAGCGTCTCCAGCCGGGAGTAGTAGGGCAGCAGCACGTTCACCAGCTCGTGGCCGCCGAGGCCGTAGTACTCCACGCGCAGCGGCTGCAGCGGCCGTGTCACGCGTACCGTGTGGAACCCGGAGCGTGAGTCACCACGGCTCGCGAAGTAGAGCTCGTACTGAACGGCGGCGCCGGGCAGCAGTCTGTACCGGCCACCCAGCGTGTCCGCGGACGAGTAGTTCGCGTTGCCGGTGCGCTGCTGCAGCTCGGCCAGCGAGATGTTGAACACGGCGGATAGCTCGTCCAGCTCCGGACCGCGCCGGGGCCCACGCCGTGTCTCCTCAGCCCCCGGTTCAATGACCATCTTACGGCCCTTGGACATCTCAAAGTAGTGCCACGGGTACGGCTCAACCCTGAGGGAGGAGGAGGTGCGTTAGATGACTCACTTCCGCGATAAGATTGCTGCAAATGAACGTTCTAAGCCAAATCTATCTCTAGAAATGTTTCCGTAAGTGCAACAGATTGTATGAATATACGTAAGCTCCTGACTAATCCTGTCCATTAAAAGCACGGCGACTGGGCGCGTTACGGTGACCCTGAGTCGGACTCACGTCTTATGCAGAGCCGTTATCATTGTCGAGACGGACGATACGCTATCAAAATGTCCACGCACATTGTCTGTGTATACGTGGGCAGCTGTGGGCTAGTGTCGGTATTGACTGATATCCTAGCAGAGCACTTGGCTAATCGGAGCCGGACAAATTAAAGACTGAGGACGTTGATGACGTCTACGGATAATGACGGACGGCAAGGTATACGTACGTATTTCAAACGCAATACCATGGATGAAGTATTCCTGAATACCAAATACCTAATCCATGGCAATACCTTGCCTAAATCTGAAGAAATGGGGCAAATATGGCTCTGAAATATGTTGAACTGAAAAGGTGAAAAAGGAACTCGCTCCTCAACTGACACGGATACTACTCACTGTAAAGTTTAAGAGAACATTAAGCCCTATTTCGACAAGGGGCACAATCACGGAGTGCCGGCAGTCCATTGATGCCTTTATCACAATCGGTTGATGATTGTATATAAGTCATTTACTGTGAGTGACATACTTATCGGTAAATATAAAGGCTGTGTTGTGTAGTGCGAATGGGTACTTACCCTGGAGGTACGTCATATCGGGTGTTATTTTCAACCTCTGTTGCAGCCAATTCGACAACTGAAACGGGTAGAGAAGGGTTCAGTCATAACACGCTAAAGCAGTTACATTCTACTAAATTTAAGAACGCTTTCATATGCCGACAACTTCCAACTTACACTTGCAAGTCAAATGAAATCGTTCAAGGACGCTCACACACTTTTTCCTCGATTGCATCGCTAAACATGTAAAACAGATGACTGGAGTCTGGAGCCATCGTTTTATTTCACATTTGACTTCAACATTAGACAGACGGCCTGACAGATTTCATGACGCAGTCTAACGTACGTAGGGGAGAGTGGGGCACATTCGTGCAAAAAATGGATAAACCCATATATCTGTTCTTTGGTTAGTGCAATGGCAAAATTGTTGATTGTAGTATGGAAAGGAACTATTGCAGATAGTTTTCCTCTTAAAAGTTATCCTATAAAATTATTGCTTCCATTAGAAAAAATGACTTTTATAAACTCTGAACATTTGCACGAAACTGCCCCACCTATGGGGCACATTCGTTCAAGAGATGGGGCACTTCCGTTCACCCGGCAAAATTCGAGAAATTACCGGGCATTACCAGAAATTTACCAAAGGAAATTGGCAGGGGGTCATTTCACTTGATTCCTTTCGACAAGAATGCATTGCACAACAAATGTAGAAAGAATGGGCTGGCCAACAAGAATGTGCCAACTGCCGGCCTCCGTGACCTCGCCAAGTTCGCGTGAATTGCTCGTCACGACGTCGCAAGCAGTCGAGACTGAGTCAGGCGAGCGTCATTAGAGAAACCTACTACAGATTAAGTCATAAATCGCAAAAACTAAAAAAAAATATGCACGAATGTGCCCCCAGGCAGTGCGTACACGAACCTGCCCCACAACGTTATTAGTAATATATTTCAAAATTTCTTTTTGAAAAAATGACACTTTTTCAACAAACAAGTTTGCAGCAGTTCCGTGAATAGAGTGGGCTTCTTCACCCCCAATTTTGAAAAGCTGAACCACATTTCCGAGTCAGGATCACGAAAATGGATGATATGAGAAAAGTTTGGAAAGCTCACGAATATTACAAATTTGCGTTTTTATCAAGCATGACAGCAGGTACAGTGTTGTCTTCTACGGTGAACGAAGGGCGGCAATGATGGACATATTTCCATAATTTACCTTGAGCTCGTGCAGTCACTCGTGTTCCCATAAACTGCTGAAAACGAATGTGCCCCATGCACGAATGTGCCCCACTCTCCCCTACCTATCTTTTCTCACAGAGGCGGTGAGACACACCGGGTGTCGCTAAGACCGGCACGACCGCGACACGTGCGCAAACGGCGTGCGATAGACGGTGCACTCCCCACGAACCTGCACTTTTACGACAGCCTAACCTTACTAAGTGGTAGTGAGAAAAACGGAACGACTTACCGTATGATACTAAATAACAAGTAAGGACACTTCACAATTTATGAGGTCAACTCATGCAGTGACTTTCCGTCGAAATAGAGTGGACGATTTAACAGGAGGGTTATTATTTATTCATTATTCATTATTATTCACTATAATTCATTGCACTATCATTATTCATTGCACTATAAACACACATTATCATATCCCTACATGTGGATGGCGAGTGTAGTACACTTAGAGAAATAACATTGAATAAAATAATACCAAGACGTCGGCTGAACGTAAATGGGCGAACAATATACGACGCATAAGACGTCTACCTACCCCACCCATGGCACTCACGACGAACAGTTGAAGATACCGTCCTACATCCACTTTGCTTGAGATTGGCACACCTTGTACGAGATAAATGATCGCAACGGACTCTCCCCTCTCGACCTCACCTTCGGGCAGTTTGCGTCGGACCCTCGTTTTGCCCCTGTCACGTGTCACGGGTGCCAGCAGGAACAGGGCGCCAGCGACCGCCAGCCCGGCGGCCAGCAGGCACAGTCGACGCGACGGACGCATCCTGAGTGCGGCGCTCGCGGCGCCGCTGCTCCGATACCGCCGCTCCGCGGCTATCGCGAACACTGGCCGCGATAGCCACGTCATTGGCAGGATGTGGCCAGCCCGCAATCAGTGTGTGTGGTAAGGTGATGGTAAGATAGACAGATACGCAGAGGAAATCGTTGATAACGTATGAAGAAGTGGCCAAAACTGTAGGTTTCTTCAGTAAACAGGGAAATATGGAGGAAGACTGAGGCAGAGTAAGAGAGAAAGAGAGAGAGAGAGAAAGAGAGAGAGAGAGGGAGAGAGAGAGAGAGAGAGAGAGAGAGAGAGAGAGAGAGAGAGAGAGAGAGAAAGAGAGAGAGAGAGAGAGAGAGAGAGAGAGAGAGAGAGAGAGAGAGAGAGAGAGAGAGAGAGAGAGAGAGAGAGAGAGAGAGAGAGAGAGAGAGAGAGAGAGAGAGAGAGAGAGAGAGAGAGAGAGAGAGAGAGAGAGAGAGAGAGAGAGAGAGAGAGAGAGAGAGAGAGAGAGAGGAATTTTCTAATAGGTAGTTACCTTACTCCCGAATAAGTTTAACTTATTCGGCTGTCGATTAAACATGACTGCCTACCGCTCAGTCATTCGCTCCTCGGGCCCCCATTTCTGCACATCTATATTTGACCCTTCACATCCCAAAGTCTTTCAGCGGAGAAGTATTTCATATTTCCTCTACTACCCGCCTCCCTGCCTTACGGTCGGCGTTCGCTGGGGACATCAAGTGGACCGAGCGAAGTCATCCACTCCCGCATCTTTGCTTCTCCGGGAAACTTCTCCTCAAGAATATGAGGAGCCAGAATCTCAGCGCTTCTCGCCACTCCCTGCCAGATGGAGAGTGACAGCGATTGCCGCAACGATTCCTGCAAGAGCAAAGACGAAACATGTGTATTTAAATGCGTAAAACTTACCTTTACTTAGGTGCATTGAAACGTTGGTTTATGTTTACCTAAATACGACATTGGTCCATGACTCCAAGCCAGACTAAAATAAATATTTAATTAACCCCCGCCCGTACCTATTGGTGTTTTGCCAGCCGCCAACGTATAAAGGGGGGTCCGTTGGAACCCCCCTTGCCGTTTTCCCCCTGATCGAGGTAGAGCTTCGCGGAAAAAAGGAGCGTGTTGCCCGTGATAAGAGGAAGCAGATGATACCCAATTTTAAGGTCCTAATCCATTGGTTGACTTTCCAGGTCAGGTCAATGACCCAAAGGTTGGGAAAATCGGGACGTGTTAAAACGTCGTGAAGTGTGGCTGCTACGAGGTTTTACGGGGTGCTGATGACGAATATCATGTTAGTTTTGATCACAGATGTCTTCTTGCGTTAAGGTCAGGTCAGGTCAGGTCAGGTCAACCAATAGGGGTCCTGTCGGGTATTCGTAGTACGTGTCAACCGCCTCTTACAGCTTCGTAACATGTTACGAAGGCACCAAAACTACTTCGTATTTGTTCAAATGGTTGCTAAATTCTAAATAAAATGAAGTAAGGCCTTTGTGGATTTTCTTCTTCTACCTTCATGGGCTTGGGCTATATTCCATGTCAATATCCATCTTGCCTCACGAAATAATCCCAAGCAACATTGATTTTTGAAAATACCTGAGCGTTCAAATTCACAGTTATAAGTACAAGCATATTATTTTTTTGGCTGCCAATCTATGACGTGTGTTTTCAGTTACGACAACGTGGACTTCTGTGACGTCCACGACCTGCCAGGACTAGGCGATCTAAGCAAAAAGTTTGGCATGATCTGGCGGTTCATGCCGTTGGCTGACGGCACCGTGGAGCGGTTCATCGTTCGCGATCTGGACTCACTGATTGGCTGGGTAGGTGTGACGTCATCGGAAATTTACCTATATTCAGTGGCTGATGATTGGCTTATCCAATAGCCAGTAAATGTGTGGCGGAATGAGCCCTACCTTCATGAGAAATAGTTTAGTGAGAAAGGCAAAATGGCAAAAAAGTTATAATAGCAAGGCAGCTAACATTTGAAGTTTCGCTGAAGAGCAAGCATTTAGAATAAGTGATGACGGACTTCCATTTCATGAGCCTTTTCCGAGCACTGTGATGTCGCAAGCAGCCCTGTTTTAGATAGGTAGCGTAAGTACATACCTGTGCGACTTACCCTTTGCCTAAGGCATCGTTGACCTGTGTATAAAAGCTCTTCTATGATCCGTGTGGCCTGTGTGGTGAAGGAAGCATCGGAAGTGCTAGGACTGGTTTCTTTCACCATGGATGGAGACCTCCAAATGTCTGGTCTCCTTGCCAGATATTCGAGAACCTTCACGATTCCTGCAAGAGCAAAGACGAAACATGTGTATTTAAATGCGTAAAACTTACCTTTACTTAGGTGCATTGAAACGTTGGTTTATGTTTACCTAAATACGACATTGGTCCATGACTCCAAGCCAGACTAAAATAAATATTTAATTAACCCCCGCCCGTACCTATTGGTGTTTTGCCAGCCGCCAACGTATAAAGGGGGGTCCGTTGGAACCCCCCTTGCCGTTTTCCCCCTGATCGAGGTAGAGCTTCGCGGAAAAAAGGAGCGTGTTGCCCGTGACAAGAGGAAGCAGATGATACCCAATTTTAAGGTCCTAATCCATTGGTTGACTTTCCAGGTCAGGTCAATGACCCAAAGGCTGGGAAAATCGGGACGTGTTAAAACGTCGTGAAGTGTGGCTGCTACGAGGTTTTACGGGGTGCTTATGACGAATATCATGTTAGTTTTGATCACAGATGTCTTCTTGCGTTAAGGTCAGGTCAGGTCAGGTCAGGTCAACCAATAGGGGTCCTGTCGGGTATTCGTAGTACGTGTCAACCGCCTCTTACAGCTTCGTAACATGTTACGAAGGCACCAAAACTACTTCGTATTTGTTCAAATGGTTGCTAAATTCGAATTCACCTCCAAAAAGTAGCTTAGAAACATGCAAAACTCGAAAAATTGAGCCGAGGTCATCAAAGGTCAATGACCTGACCTACACTGACCTTCAGGTGACCTTGACACCCACCCTAATGCATGGGACCAACATCATATCACATGTTTTAACCCGGCAGACGGTGGGCCTCACGGCCACCTTCCGCGCGGTGGGGGGGGGGGCATTTTTTGCCCCCCCTCGTATCTCCGAAACTATTGGACGGGTCCGGAAAATTTAAACGGCGTTCGATAGCCCTGTCAAATTTGTCGAAGGAAACCAAATTTCATTGACCTCGGGGTCACCGATCACGTCACAGGCCAGGTCAAAGATAAACTGTTTCACCGTTCACGGGTCTTCTAGGGAAAGCGCTATAACACCGAGGAAAACGTATTTTGTAGAAAATCAGCGATATGGCGTCAGTTGTCTAGTACATATGTTGCTATTAGAGGTCACTGGTCATACCAGGTCAGGTCACAGGTCAGGTCACCAATGGTCACCACATAAACCCAACTTTACTAAGGCTGTGCGATGCATGTTTTATGGTCAATTTTTCATTTCCAACTCAATGGTGTTGGTTAAAAAAACCATCAGGTACAGTTAAGGTCACTTTCTGGTGGAGGTCAGGTCAGGGTCAGGTAAAAAATGTCAAGTTTCAAAGTTGATAGTTTTGCATAAAATGAGTATTGATTCGATGCAGCTCGTCACGGGGAGTCTAATGATGGTCTTTGTTTTGCGCTACGAGGTCTAGAATTGCTAACAATTGAGTTTGAAAATTTGACGTCATCAATTTTGAACAGTTTTTTTTCGCTATAACTTGGTCAAAAAAGAGGTATCGATCTCAAATTTGGTATGTAGATAGAAAGCGGTAGGGACTATCACATATATTCCGTTTTTTTTCGAAATTCAAAAAAACTTTTTGGATTTTCCGGCTATTATATTCAAAAAATCTATTTTTTTAATTTTTGAGGTCACAATACAAAAAATTCAAAAATTCGAGATCGCAGTTTTGTAGCCCTGTGTACACCTTTTATGTCGAATATTTTTTCTGTATCTCTAAAGTTGTAGGTCTGACAGCTCTTCCCGCGAAACCTTTTTTGGGTCGAAAATGGCAGAAATGACGTCACTCTGTCGTCAATAGCGGCCAGCCTATCAGAGCCTTTGGACAAATTTTTGGTCGCAATGTGCAATAGCTGTTCAAGGGAGGGTACCGAAAGTTTGGTGACGATCGCCGCAGCGGTGCTGGAGATATATCGAAAAAACCAAAGGGGAGGGGGCAAAAAATGGCCCCCTCACCACCTGGAAGGTTAACGCTTGAGACCACAAGACTGTAAACGCGCGTCTAATGCGAGCCAACATACGCCGAATCGCGATTCTAGCCAAACATGGTCTCGAAAAGTAGGTCACAGGTCAAAGGTCATTTGGGTCAGGCTCATGAAATTTTCAGAATTGGCGTAAAATTGATTAAAGCGGGGGTACTAAACGTTCAGTTGTGTGCGGCCGCTTTTTACGCGAGTTATTAATGAAAAACCGAGGGGGTCCGTTCGCCCCCCCCCCCCCTTATATGGAAGAGGGGTTAGGTGCAGATAACCTGGTGTCTAGCATGCCTGAACGCATGCGCCAGTGTATCGCGAACAAGGGAGGGTATGTTCAGGTTAACAAATAAAACTTCATGTGTATCTCTTTTTTCCTTCGTATCAGCACGGATCACCTAACGTTATGTGATACATGGTATCAGGCAAGGCTAAAGAACTCCAGGTGTGCAAAAAAAAAGATATTCGTAAAAAAGTGTGTTCGCGCAATTACTTTCCACCCTGTGGCTGCGTCTGTGAACTCATTCATTTCTGCTAAAAACGACTCCGGGCCCAGTCCCAAATTCATGCGAGCAGATTGGGATCGGAAAATACCGTGGGCCACGCTATTGAGCTGACCAATTCGAAAAGCGGAGAGGCGAAGGAGGTGGGGTGACTCAGACGCCACATTGATGCAAATGGGGTTCACGAGTAAATACCAAAAAGTCAAGTTTACCAAACCGAGTAAATCGCTATATGACTAACCAAAGAAATGTGGCGCATCTGAAATCACATAGTTTTCATATTTTTATCAAAACCGGCCTCGTGTATGATTGTCAGAAGTCGTGCCATTTTCTATGTCGTAAAATGACTG